AATGTTAACTGGATGAAGACGGACTATATAATTTGATCATTCACTCTTCCACCCTGAAATATTGTTATTTATAGTTTCTACACTACTTGTAACTTACCATTTAGCATGTAGCTTTGGGTCTGCAACACCGGTCCTTTTTCTTTTTATTTCTTTTGCTCTTAAATAGGAAGATGTTTTTTGTAGTATGGTGTAAATATCATTTATTTCAGCTTCTAACCTATCAGCATTTTGTTAAGTGAAATTATTCAAACCTGCTATTGTTGCTAACCTTTTCTTAAGCATATGCCCGTATGGTTGTTGTTTAATATAAAATTACTAAATAAAGAGTTTGAGATGCTGTAGTTATAAGTAAGAAAGACAGCTTAAACTTTGTTCTACACAGTCAAGCGTATTGTACACAGATGCGAGTAACATCCCACAAAAAAATAAGGAAGGTATAATCACTGCTAGCCCTTGTTTCGCTGATACCTAGACCAAACACCTAGTTCTACAAAGTTTTCAAAACTACAAAAAAATTTGAACTCTGATCCATGTTCAGAAAAATTTTTAGTTCTTAAAATTCTAATTTAATTAGCAAACTATTGAACCTATTTCAAATGGACCTTTTAAGGTAGATAAAAATATAAACTTTGCCAGCAAAACGCAAAAAATATGCCTCTAATTACTGATATTAGAAAAACTAGTGTGTGAAGAGGGAATCCTGTATTTGCTTTATGCACTGAGCGTGCATTTGCTGTTTTCTGATGAAATTCCAAAGCTTTACACCTATGACGCAATTTATTAAGTAGCAGACGCGTTTAAGGCATATATTACATTATACGATAATCTAAATTTATACCATTTTGGTTCATCCATCAGTACAAACTGTCGGTAACCAAACATTTGATCAAATACCCGCAAATTTAAAATGTAGAAATGCTTTTGTGAAGCGCTGATAGCAGGTAATGGCTTACTGCTAACACGTTTTTTACGTGTATTACCATCGAAGAGAAAAAAAATCGCAAAGCAAATATCAAGCCATAAGAATCAGATTTCCAGAACTGTTAAAAACTCATGGAAATATATTATCACTCCCGAGTTTTGCCAGAACTGCTGCCACTAAAGAGACAGAGCCAACAAAATGAAATACTATGAGTTTGCCTTCAAATGGAAGAAGAAGATTGGATTAAATTCCAGAATCCAAATTCCTCTAGGCATGAAGTAAGAAATATTGTCTTACTAAGTTCGAAAAGTTCAAAAAAGATATATACCCAGCATTATTCACAATTCCAATTTCCATCCCAGTTCTTGCTGTGTCAAAGAAGAGAAAAAAAAACGACACAGCAGTTCAAGATTTTTCACCTGACACCCAAATCTCTTTCTCCACATCTTCAAAGGAGCGAGTAGTGCGTAAGTCAGAATGACCCAACAACTTTCAAGATCCTTAAGAGACACTATCCTGGATCTCAAAATCAAGAGGAAAGTTTCTGATAATTTTCAAAAAAAAAAAAAAAAAA